ACCTAGTATTAAAATTTGTCATTTTAAAACAGGCACGCATTCAAGATTGTCATCAGCAAACTACACAAAAGTACATTTATAGTGTTTTTTAAGTATATACTCATTCGATTAAAATGGTCTAGTCTTTGGAAGCAAATATGGAAAAAGAACTGCAGATACTGAAGCCTACATGGCAGATACAACACTAAGATAGACAACTCAGCTCTGCCCATCCCGACTGTGTAACTCAGCATCCTTGGATCCTTTTCTGGGGACAATAACATATTTGCTATTGACACAGTGGTTAAAGCAGTTGGCAGACAGTCTGATCTTTCAGTTAACAGAACTGGGACAAAAGGAATTTCCTCAGTACATTAAACAACCGACATTCCTCTGGATACACACAGCTTTGTGTGGCTACTAGGGTGGATGACAGACTTTGAGCCAATAACTCTTTAAAAATAGCCAGACATAACTATACTAGATGTTTGAACAAAATAAATAATACTAAAGATGGCAAAAATCAAGTTGTTCCCTAATTGTGAATGGAAATAATCCAAGTAATCACATTACCAAAAGTTCAAAATGTTAGATTTCACATCCAGAAATGGATCTACACAGACATAGCTCAAGCACACACCTTAAGAATTCTTAATACAATGAAAAGCAAACACCAATTAATTTAATAGGGTCAGTCTTTATAGTACATAAAAAATATATAAAGTATGTAAATGTTAGCAATAAACATAGTAAATTTTTCTAAAATGCACAAGTAATTCAATGAAAATGGATAAAAATTGGAATAAATTAATGTTTTTTGGCCTGTTTTTTAATTTTATTTCTCTTTCTTTATTTAAAATGCCTCTTTATAGACATTTCTCTAAAAGAGATATAATCATGAGCCAATCTTCCAAAGAAAGAGAACTTTCATTCACTACCCATGAATAACTTCTTAAGCAGCTAAAATCACTTGTGCTTCAAATGATTTGGCACTAAAATACAACAGATATACACTGATGTTTAAAATTTCACTAATCTAATTCCAATATTTTTCAAAGCATATATATATTTTTTTATCCTCACCCGAGGACATTTTTTTTTTGCCATTTTTTATTCAGATAGAGTGGGAGGGAGAGAGAGGAAGAGAGACAGAGAAACATCAACGTGAAAGGGACACATCGAGTGGCTGCCACCCGCACAACCAACCAGGGCTGGGGACAAACTGCAACCGAGGTACGCGCCCTTAGCGGGAACCGAACCCGGGTCTCTCTGGACCGCAGGCCGACACTATAACTACTGAGCCAAACCGGCCAGGGCTCAGAGCGTATTTTATTGCACTGTACTGTTATGATTCAAAATAAAAGGAACTACATTTTGAAACTGTACTATTTGAAATTATAAAATAAACCCTGCCAATTTTTCTTGGGGTCTACTTTGAATTGCATATTGTCAAAAGTCATTTGGAAACATACTGTTTGTTGCAGCTACTATTAAGCAATATAGGCTTCTTCACTGCTTAATAGAATTGCTTAGTAGAAATTATCAGAATTCAAATGTCAAGTTTATTTTGATACACAAAACTTTTTTCTAAATATTAATATTTCAAGAAAGGGAAAGGAGATTCTTTTTGATGTTTCAGCAAAATTGACAGACAGCATGGTGAAAAAAAAATCTGCCTTCACAGCAATATTAAAATAACACTAAAAACCTGAAGCAATGATGTTCCTTCCCATTACCAAAAATAAATTAATTTTCAAAGTACATAATTCAAAGAGAAGTGTACTTCCTGAAGAGCTTTGCTAGCCCTTATCACTAAGGTCCAGAGGCATCAGCATCATCTGGGAATTCGTTTGAAATGGAGACCTACAGTCCCCATCCCAGACCTGCTGGATCAGAATCTGCATTTTCACACAAGCCCTAATATGCACATTAAAGTTTGAGAAGCAGTGTCCTAGAAGAGTATGGCATTTAAAACAACAACAGAAAAAATTAGTATCAACAGAAAAGAAAAAAGAAAAAAACGTCATAAAACCAGGCCTCCCTCATGGGGCAATGATCAAAGCCCACTGTCCCACTATAATTTCCAACTGACAAAATGGGCACACCAAAAATAAGGATTTATGGGACCTGAAATTATCCTCAGATTCCAAGCCAGGGCTGTCCTCAGAAAATAAGACATGAATGCATAAAAGTGGATAATCGTAACACTTTCAAGTTTAAAGAGACTTGCAGGTTAATTCTGTAGTTTAGAGATAAGAAAATTGATATGCAAGGTTATAAAAATGACTACTGATCTGGAAATGACTTGTTATTAAATAATTCTTTATCCTTGTCTCTTAGCCTAAACTCCACACAGCTTCTTTGCCTCCTTCCTTTCACGTTGCATCCAAAGAAGCATCCATGCTCTTGCACTGGCCCTTTCTATTCCCACCAGCATCTTTTTTCAAATGCCCATCACTCACAATCTGACATAAAAGTACCTACCCTAGGTCTGCTGCCTGCTGCCTCTCCAAATGAAATTGACCTTACACGTCCCTGCCATCATGGTCTTCCCCAAATATCATCAGAAATGTCACCTGGTCAAAACCCTACTGGACCCCACTTTGTTAACAGAATAAGGGAGAAGTTCCCAAGTCTGCATGTGCAATACACACACCTTACCTTCCATGACTGCCAACACAACTACCCTCTGTGCCACAGGTTCACTAGACCTTCCAAACTCCAGGGTGCTCAGACATGTCTCCTAACCTGGAATTTGTTACTCAAATTATGCCTAATCTTCAAGGCCAAGTCCCACCTCCTCATGTCCTCAAAAATCCTGAGAGAATTCATGTTCACTGACATACTCTTTGTCTTTTTCTCCCATTGTTAGCTGCCATAACTTCCATCAGGGTAATGACTCTATTTTGAATCCCTTTACATTAACAATTCCATGGGGAGAAAATGGTGAGATAAAGACTGGGAAAGGACACAGGTGAGAAGGGTGGGGACTTTTGGGTGAACTCTATTCCTGACATAATATCGCATTTCTTGATCTAGATGGCGATTATAAAACTGTGTCCACTTTGTGTGACTTCATCAAGCTGTACACTGAAGACCTGTGTGTCTCCCTAGACATATACTTCAATTATGAAAAGTTTATTTAAAAGTGGAAAAATAAGTAAAACAAAATGATAAGCCCAGTAGGAGATCAATAAGTACATTGGGGAATAAGTAATGACTGCTTAAAATGGCAACAGAAGGAATTTCTTCTGAATTGGTATCAACCTACTCAAGTCTAGATTGGTAAACTATTTCTTTTATGAAGGAAGGGTAGAAAAGAGATCCCTCATTGAGATTATTTTATATCAAATATTTTATTTCTAAGGCTAGTATACCCCTTACTAAATTTTCTGTTGTTGTTAATCCTCACCCGAAGATAATTTTCCATTGATTTTTTTTTTTTTTGATAGAGTGGGAGGGAGGAGGGGAGGGAGGGAGGAAGGGAGGAAGGGAGAGAGAGAGAAAAGGAAACATCAATGTGAGAGAGACATCAATTGGTTACCTCCCACACAACCCCAACCAGGGCCAGGGATCAAACCTGCAACTCAAGTACAAGCCCTTCACGGGGAATAGAACACATGACTCTTTCGGTGTGCAGGCCAACACTCTCACTGCTGAGTCAAACCAGCCAGGGCAACCCCCGTCACTAATTTTTAAAACTTAGGTCTTACAACATGCCAATTATTACATTCTAAAAGCAGAGAATAATCTTATTTTCTAAAATATCCTCTAAAATACGTAAGTGCTAGGACACCATGGATCTCTAAGCACCTTTCAAAGTGCGTGGTACTTACTAAGTGCTCAACAAATATCTGTGAAATCAATCAATGATGGGTTACTTTTTTTTTTGTCATTTATCACGCAAAGAAACTCCAATAACTAAAGAACCAAAAAAGCCAAATAAAAAGGAAGAGTTGGCCCTAGCCAGTTTGGCTCAGCGGTTAGAGCGTTGGCCCACAGACCAATGAGTCGTGTGTTCAATTCCGGTCAAGGACACATACCTCAGTTGTGGTTTGTCCCACATCAACATTTCTCGTTCTCCTCCTCCTCTCGCTCTCTTTCTTTCTCTCTCCCTCCCTCCCTCCTTCCTACTCTATCTGAAGATAAATGCAAAAATATTCTCAGGTGAGGATAAAAAAGGAAGAGTTGAAGAGACTCAAAAGTATCTCCCCTAAGCAGAACTTAGCTCCTCCATTTCATTTACTTATCTCCTGAAAAGAAAATTTAATTCAATGATGATGTTCTCTAATAAATGTAAACGTAATAGAAAAAATTGTCACTAAACCGTGAATGAAAATTGTCACTATGCCTACCGTCTCAAGTAACCCTTGCCCTAAAATACACACACCACAAGTAAACAAAAACGGAGAAAATGTACAGCTAGTGGTTCATACCCTGGGTCTTCAATAAAGGGGAAAAAAAACAGCTAATGAAGGTTTCCATATATTTTTATCAAATAACATTTTCTCTACAAAGCAATTGTAAGTTTCTTATAGAACAACAAAGAAAATATGAGCAAATAAAAAAACACGACTGGACCCTGGCCGGTTTGACTCAGCGGTTGGAGCGTTGGCCTGTGGACCAGAGAGTCACAGGTTCATTCCCTGCTAGGGGCACGTACCAAAAAATAAAAATAAAATAAATAAATAAATAAAACATAACTGGGAGGTCACTAATGTATGGAGAAGCTACGCCTCATTACTGGCAAAGATCTACTTGTAATACACGAATAGACACTTGTGCAAATTTCAACCTTTATCCAAAAATGTTTGATTTTACTTATTTAGTAAGAATTGGATATCTTTAGTTTTTATTTTTTAGAAAGAATGAAAGGGAGGGAAGGAGGTGGGGGGAGAGAGAGAGAAACATCAATGTGAGAGAGACACATCCATTGGTTACCTCCCACAGGACCCTGAGGGTTGAGGATCAAACCTGAAACCCAGGTAGATGCCCTTGACTGGGAATCGAACCTTCAATCTGCAACCCTTCCATCCATAGGCCGATGCTCTAACTGCTGGGCCAAACCAGCCAGGGCAGAAATAAGTATCTTTGAGAGATGTATACTATAGGAAAAAAATGTAGTAAATACTTTACACACCTAAAAGCATGAGCCATTAACATATTAATTACATATCTGTTTTTACATGTTGATATCAATGGACAATATCAAAGGTAGGACAGTGCCTTTGCAAAAAAAAAAAAAAAAAAAGTAAATAAAAATGATCCATCCCTGGCCAGTTTGCCTCAACAGTTAGAGCACTGGCCTATGGACCAAAGAGTCCTAGGTTTGATTCTGCCCAAGGGCATGTACCTCAGTTGCAATTTGTCCCCTGCCCTGGTTGGGGTTGTGCAGGTGGCAGCCAACTGATGTGTCTCTCTCACATCGATGTTTCTCTCTCTCCCTCTCCCATGCTATCTGAAGATAAATGTAAAAATATCCTAGGGTGAGTGGTTGAACGTCGACCCATGCACCAATAGGTCACCAGTTTGATTCCAGGTCAAGGCACATGCCCAGGTAGTGGGCCCAATCCCCAGTGGGGGACGTGCAGGAGGCGGTCAATTGATGCTCTCTCTCATTGATGTTTCTATCTCTCTCTCTCCCCTTCCCTTTCTCTTTCTCTTAAATCAATAAAAACATTTTTTTTACAAAGAACAAACAAAAAAACAATCCAAAGCCTTAAAATGTGAAGTAAGAGTCAAAATATTTACTGATTCAAAGATTTACTTTAAAATACTTTAGAAAAATAATCTATTTATACATGGTCCTATTGCTTGTATTCTTCATAAAGCAAGCAAGGCTGCAATAAATAACTGGAAAAAAAAAGATGGCGGCGGGCAGGACAGAGGGAAGGTGAATGCGGCAGAGAGTGAGCTATGAGAGAGTGTGAGTAGACGTGAAGGTGAACGACCAAACTCCTGCAGTGCAGAGACGCGGAGCAGGAAGTTCCTGTGCTCTGGACGAGCAGCAGCCGGATACCACAATTAGCAGCTCTTTAGGGCTCTTCTCCTTGCTGCGGGGTGGTCCCACCATTTTGGAAGATCCTGGGTCTTTCCTGGGAGGAGGCAGAGGGCCCAGCAACCTGAGCCCACCAGTGCACCTGGCACAATCAGTCCAGTGGACACCCTGTGTCAACACAGACCAGTGCACAGTACCAGAGCTGTCAAGGTGCCAGTTGTGGAAACCGCAAACAGCCGGGAGCCTAGCACCATCCCCCACAGTAGCAGCCTGATCACAGTCCAGATATACCCCAAGCAACAGAGGCTGGGGAGCAGACATCCATCCCCAGGCAACATAAGCACAGATCAGCAGCAGAGAACCATCCTCAAAAACTACAGCAAAGGCTGAGCAGGAGCTGAGCCCCACTGGGCAGCAGCGCTCCCCAGCCAGCAGCAGCAGGACCCAGGGCTTCATCGGGGCCTGTGCAACACTGCTGCCCACAAGAGCGGTGGAAAGCTGGGGATCTAGAGGGACCTGTGCAATCCAGTGGCCAATAAGAGCGGTGTGGAGACCAAGTGCCAGAGGGACCTGTATGACCCAGTAGCCCACAAGAGCACTGATGAACCAAGGATCCAGAGGGACATGTGACCCAGCCGCCCAGGGTCCGAGCAGAGAGCGTGAGCAATACAGCTATAGGTGGGACCAGCGACCAGCTGGGAACACAGCTTCAGAGGGGCCCACGCAATCCAGCAACAGCACCTACCAGGAGACACCAATACCAGCCCCCAGTAGTCAATCCTCCAGGATCCACAGCAGGCAAGAGGCCACACGCAACAAGAGTCTGAGAGGCACAGTAGCCTTATTCGACATACACTGAGCTGCCTACACATCCAAACATTCCTCACTGGGTCTGGAGCTACCACACAGCTAAAATGGAGAGACAAAGAAACAACACCCAAAGGGGAAAAAAAGAGGAATCACCAGAAAAGGAACTACAGGAAATGGAAGATAGCAACTTGTCAGATTAAGAATTCAAAGTAATGATTTTAAGAGTGCTCAAACAATTTGGTGAGAACTACAAGCAACTTAGTAAGAATTATAAAGAGCTCACTGGGAACTACTTCAGCTTTACAAAAGAGGTAGAAGCTATGCATAAAGAGGTAGAAGCTATGCATAAATATCAAGAGGAAATAAAGAATAACATAGGTGTTATGAAAAATACCTTAGAAGGGCTCAATAGTGGATTAGAAGAAGCTGAAGACCGAATCAGCAACTTAGAATACAAGGTAGAAAAAACACCCAAATAGAGCAGCAAATGGGCAAAAAGTTTAAAAAGCAGGAGGAGTTTAAGGGAGCTGTGGGACAATACAAAATTTAACAACATTCGCATTACAGGGGTACCAGAAGGAGAAGAATCAGAGAAAGAAATAGAAAACCTGTGTGAAGAAATAATGACAGAAAACTTCCCTAAACTGGTGAAGGAAAAAGTCACACAAGTCCAGGAAACACAGAGAGTCCCAAGCAAGATGAACCCCAGAAGACCCACAGCTAGACACATCATAATAAAAATGGCAAACATTAAAGACAAAGAAAGAATCTTAAAGGAAGCAGGAGAGACACAAAAAGTGACCTACAAGGGAGCTCCCTGTCAGCTGATTTCTCAACAGAAACACTGCAGGCCAGAACAAAGTGGCATGAAGTGTAGAAAGTAATGCAAGGCAAGGTTCTGAATCCAAGACTAGTCTATCCAGCAAGGCTATCATTTAAAATTGAAGGTTAAATAAAGAACTACACAGATATAATATTAAAAAAAAAAAAAAAACTAAAGGAATTTACCACCCCCAAACCAGCACTGCAAGAAATGCTGAAGGGACTGTTGTAAGAAAAAGAGAGAGAAACACAGGCATAAAATTCAAATGGCAACTAATAACTATCTATCAATAATTACCTTAAATGTAAATGGATTAAAGGCTTCAATCAAAAGACATAGGGTAGCTGATTGAATAAGAAAGCATGACCCATTTATATGCTGTGTGCAAGAGACCCACCTCACAACAAAAGACTCGTAAGGAATGAAAGTGAAGGGATGGAATAAAATTTTCCAAGCAAATGGAAATGAAAAAAAAGATGGTGCAGCAATACTCATGTCTGACAAAACAGACTTCAAAATGAGGGCTATAATAAGAGACAGAGGTCACTACATAGTATTAAAAGGATCAATTCAAAAAGAGCATATAACCCTGGTAAATATATGCATGCCAAATAGAGGAGCACCAAAATATATTTAAAAACTTCTGGAGGACTTCAAGGAGGAGATCAATAGCAAAACAATCATAATGGGTGACTTTATCACACCACTGGATAAATCTTCTAGACAAAAAATTAACATGGACATAGTCTTTACAAGATGAACTAGATCAGCTGAACTGCATTGATATTTACAGAACATTTCACACCAAAGCTGCAGAATATACATTATTCTCAAGTACACATGGGACATTCTCAAAGACAGACCACCAGTTAGGACACAAAGTCTCTACAAATTCAGGAAGATTGAAATCATATTAAGCATCTTCTCAGATCACAGTGGCATGAAACTAGAACTCAATTACAATAAAAATATTCAAACACTTGGAGGCTAAATAGCATGTTCTTAAACAATGAAAGGGTTACTAACGAGATCAAGGAAGAAATTAAAAACTTCCTGGAAACCAATGAAAATAAACACACAACACAAAAACTATGGAAAACAGTGAAAGCAGTCCTGAGAGGGAAGTTCATACCACTACAGGCCTACCTCAAGAAACAAGAAGTATTTCTAATTGACTGTCTAACCTCACAACTTAAAGAATTAGAAAGCAAACAAAAAGAAAACACCAGATCAAGTAGAAGGAAGGAAATAGTAAAGATCACAGCAGAAATAAATGACATAGAGACCAAAAAAAAAAAAAAAAAAACAATTCAAAGGATCAATGAAACAAAGAGCTGGTTTTTTGAAAAGATAAACAAGATTGATGGACCCTTAGCCAGACTCACCAAGAAACAAAGAGGGAGAACCCAAATACACAAAATCAGAAATGAAAGAGGAGAAGTAACAACTGGCACCAAAGAAATACAAAAGATCGTTAACAGCTACTATAAACAATTATATGGAAACAAATTCGACAATGTAAGTAAACTGGACAAATTTCTAGAAACACACAGTCTCATAAAACTGGACCAGGAAGAGATAGAAAACTTGAACAGATCAATAACAACTAAGAAAATTGAAGAGGTAATCAAGACTCTCCCAGCAAACAAAAGCCCAGGCCCAGATGGCTTAACCGGGGAGTTTTACCGAACATTCAAAAAAGAACTAACACCCATTCTCCTCAAACTATCTCAAAAAATTCAAGAAGAAGGAAGACTTCCAAACTCGTTTTATGAGGTCAGCATAAATTCTAATTCCAAAACCAGAAAAAGACACTACGAAGAAAGAAAACTACAGGCCAATATCCCTGATGAACATAGACGCCAAAATCCTGAACAAAATACTAGCAAATCGGATCGAGCAATACATCAAAAAAAATTCTTCACCACGACCAAGTGGGATTCATCACAGGGATGCAAGGCTTGTACAATATTCACAAATCAATAAATGTGATACACCACATGAACAAAATGAAGAATAAAAACCACATGATCTTATCAATAGACACTAAAAAAGCATTCGACAAAATCCAGCATCCATTTCTGCTAAAAACGCTCAGCAATCTGGGAATAGAGGGATCGTATCTTGACATAATAATGGCCATATAGGAAAGACCTACATCCAACATCATACTCAGTGGACAGAAACTAAAAACATTTCCCTTAAAAACAGGAACAAGACAGGGATGTCCACTTTCGCCACTCTTATTAAACATTGTACTGGAAGTCTTAGCCACAGCAATCAGACTTAAAGAAAAAATAAAAGGGATTCAAATTAGAAAAGAGGAAGTGAAATTGTCATTATTTGCAGATGACATGATATTATACATAGAAAACCCTAAAGAGTCCATCAAAAATCGACTAGACTTAATAAATGAATTTGGCAAAGTAGAAGGACACAAAATTAACGTCAAGAAATCGACGGCATTCTTATACACCAATGATGAACTCACAGAAAGAGAAACTGAAAAAACAATCCAATTTACCATTGCGGCAAAAATATTAACATATCTAGGAATAAACGTAACCAAAGAAGTAAAGGACCTATTTGCAGAAAACTGCAGGACATTGAAAAAAGAAATAGAGGAAGATATAAAAAAGTGGAAACACATACTCTGTTCATGGATTGGAAGAATTAACATCATTAAAATGTCCATATTACCCAGAGCAATCTATAGATTCAATGCAATCCCCATGAAAATACCAACGACATACTTCACAGAACTAGAACAAATACTTCAAAAGTTTCTATGGAACCAAAAAAGGCCTCGAATAGCCACAGCAATCTTGAAAAGGAAGGACAAAGTAGATGGGATCACAATACCAGATATCAGGTTATACTACAAAGTGAATGTAATCAAAACAGCCTGGTACTGGCACAAGAACAGGCATATAGACCAGTGGAACGAAGAGAGAACCCAGAAATGGACCCAAGGCAATATGCTCAATTAATATTTGACAAAGGCGGCAAGAAAATACAGTGGAGTAAAGACAGCCTCTTTAATAAATGGTGTTAAGAAAATTGGACAGGTACATGCAAAAAAAAAAATGAAACTACACCTTCAACTTACACCATACACAAAAATAAACTCAAAATGGATAAAAGACTTAAATGTGACCCGTGAATCCATAAAAATTCCAGAAGAAAATGTAGGCAACAAAATTGCGGACATCAGCCCTGGCCGGTTTGGCTCAGCGGTTGGAGCGTCGGCCTGCGGTACAGAGAGACCCGGGTTCGGTTCCCGCTAAGGGCACATACTTCGGTTGCAGTTTGTCCCTGGCCCTGGTTGGTCGTGCGGGTGGCAGCCACTCGATGTGTCCCTTCACGTCGATGTTTCTCTCACTCTCTCTCTCTTCCTCTCTCTCCCTCCCACTCTATCTGTACAAAAAATGAAAAAATATCCTCGGGTGAGGATAAAAAAAAAAAAAAAAAATTTCGGACATCATACGCAGCAGAATTCTCACTGATACATCACCTAAGGTAATGAAAACAAATGAAAAAATGGGCACATGGGACTACATCAAACTCCAAAGCTTCTGCACAGCAAAAGAAACAACCATCAAAATGTAACGGTAACCCACTCATTGTATGGGAGAACATCACTGCTAATGATACATCACATAAGGGGTTAATTTCCAAAATATATACAGTACTCATACAACTCAACAAAAGAAAGACAAAGAACCCAATTAAAAAATGGGCAGAGAACTGAATAGACACCTCTCCAAACAGGACATACAAATGGCCAAGAGAGATATGAAGAAATGTACAACATCACTAATCATCAGAGAGATGCAAATTAAAACAACAATGAGGTATCACCTCACACCTGTCAGAATGGCTGCCATCAACAATCATCAAACAAGTGTTGTTGAGGGTGTGGAGAAAAGGGGACTCTAGTGCATGGCTGATGGGAATGCAGACTGGTGCAGCCACTATGGAAAACAATATGGTGTTACCTCAAAAAGTTAAAAATGGAACTTCCATTTGACCCAGTGATCCTACTGCTGGGAATATACCCTAAGAATCCTGAAACGCCAATCAGAAAGAATATATGTACCCCTATGTTCATAGCAGCACTATTTACAATTGCTAAGATCTGGAAACAGTTCAAGTAGATGAGTGGATAAAAAAGCTGTGGTATATGTACACAATGGAAAACTATGTAGCTGTAAGAAAGAAAGATCTCTTATCCTTTGAGATGACATGGAGGGACCTGGAGAGTATTATGCTAAGCGAAACAAGCCAAGCAGAGAAAGACAAGTATTACATGATCTCATTTATTTGTGGAATATAATGAACTAAACAAACTGATGAACAAAACTGACCCAGAAACATAGACGTAGGGTACAGAGTTACGAACCTCAGAAGAGAGGGTGTTGGCCGGGGGAGATAAACCCTAGAACTTACATGCATATATTCATAACTAATGGACACAGACAACAAAGCTGGGAAAGGAGTGGTGGGGGTGGGGAAGAGGGTGTTGATGGTGGAAAAAGGAGAAACATCTGTAACAAAAAAAAATTAATAAAAATAATTTAAAAAATAAAATTGTAGCAAAGTTTAAAAAATAAAGTCACTTTCCAAATACAGAGATACTCAGCAAAGGGAATTGGAATTTTCTAATATGGTCATAACATGTTAATTTAACTACCTAAATAACGTCACATTCATACTAAGGCATCTAGGAAAGCTATATCAATTTACACATCAATGGACTATTACAGAATCAGGTGGCACACCAAAGGAAGCTGACACATTCCCTTGGATTGGAAGTCAAGTCATTCCGGCATCTCATTTGATCCTGCCATAGCCTTAGCTAATTATTTAATGTTCTCTTTACGTTAATGAAGATGCTAATTAGTATAAACAAAAAATTAGAAAAAACATCTATAAACTATCCACCCCTCAACAAATAACATTTGCATATTACTTCAGTTTTAGCTTGTTTAACATTGTTCTAATTACAGAGTACATTTAATTTTGTACCTTTCCCACTTAGCATAACCTGTTTTTACTTTGCTATACAGTCTTTATTTATATCCGCTTAGTGAGTACATATTATTTCTTCTAGTGTATAAACTGTGACTTATATAACAAATTTCCTGTTGTTAGATCTTTGAAGTTATTCTGATGATCTCACAATTTAAATAATGCTAGCTAAATATACTTACCCATAATTTCCTCTTCCTGGGGATAAACAATATCCCAGAGGACACTATTCCAGAGGCCTGAATGAAAGGGTAAGAACACTTCTGTAGATCTTGATAATCCTTGCCAAATTGCTTTGCAATAGAGATGTATATACTTTTGCACAATATCACCAGCAATGTCAAAATGCATGGGTCATTATGACTTTGCAGCATCAGGTATGTTAAGCATTTTTTTTGTTTTGCTAGCTTAATAGGACAATGGATAATATTTTAATTTGAGTCTCTTAATACAAGATTTATTCAATATTTTTCCATGGCTTTTTACTAGTCAATTTCTTCTTTTGTGAATTGCACATTTGGGTCATTTGGCCAAGCATCCATTGGGCTTCTAATGTTCTTCTCATTAATCTGATGAAGCCAAAATTCCCCATAAGTGTCTCGCAATTTCAATTAAAAGTTTTCATATTAGAAGAATAGAGACTTTAATTCTATCACTAATCAACTGGATCAATGTTCAGAAATAAACAATACGTATATCACTACTCCCATGACTCCCACCTCCGGGAAATAAAGTGTAATTTACTTTAAACCTATGGCTCTCTGATTTACTTAACATAATATTCTTACACATTTCTCAACCATACTACTGTCCAATAGATAACAAAGTCAATGACAAAAATGCACGGTCACTGCACAAATTCAGAGTGAAAATATACATTTATTTGGAAATAAGGTCGTGGATGATTCATATTTAAACAGCAAAGCATACCTGACTTAAATTCTTATTATTAGAAAACTATAATCTCAAAATGCTGTTAATAATAAAGCGCATCACTACACTCTAAAAATATGACCAAATAATTCACAACAAACTACATGGACTTACCTTTTATGTAAGGTGTGATTTCTAAAACCAAGGCTAATGTTAAGACAAAATTATCCTTGAAAATTACTTACACAGACCACTCAGTACATCATTATGTGGTTTTCTGAGTAGTATACTGCACTCTTTCTTACAAAGCCCAATGCTGCCAGTTGTTCCTGCAGTGTTGCAAGAGACTACTATTTCTTTGAGTGAACACTAGAAGAAATAGGTCTGGCTTGTATTTAAAAATTGTTGCATGAAAAAAAAAATGTATATATTCTTTATATATATATATACAGTTAATTATGTTTAAGCAAACATTTATATCAAATTGGCTTAAGTTAAATGCACATAAAACAATGCCATGTAAATTGATAATGATGATGATAAATGAACTAATTTATAATTTAAAAGAAGCAATTGAAAACCATAACCAACTCAAGACCACACTGATCTCATGCTGATAAAAGGTCTTTCTAAAACTGTATTCTAATTAAAACTATCTGCATGCATTATTTTTGCAAGCCTGACAAGTACTTTTTTCCCCAGGAATTTTAAGGGAGGACATTTGTAATACTTTCAAAATAAAGATCAATTTTTTTTAAATTTATTGACTGAGTCTGTGTTAAGATGAAAAATTTAGTGTTGTTCTCTCCTTTTCTATCCTTGTTACACATATTAAGTGGATTTAATCAGATTTATATTATTTTTAATATGCTTATTTTTGTAGTGTCTATCATATATATTTTTTTGTTTTTATTATTTTTCAATTACATTTTACCTTCAATATCATTTCATATTGGTTTCAGGTATACAGCATAGATAATTATATACTTTACATAGCATTCCTACTGATATTTACAGTACCCAACTGGCACCATGCATAGTTATCACAATGTATTAACATATTCCTGATATTTTCTTTACATCCCCATGACTATTTTGTAACTACCTATTTATACTTATTAATCCCTTCGCTTTTCTCAGTTCCCTAAACCCCTCCCTTCTGGCAACTACCTACCTGTCTGCAATCTGTGAGTCTGTTTCAATTTTGTTTCTTCATTTATTTTGTTCTTTAGATTCCACATATAATTGAAATCATATGTCATCTGTCTTTCTCTGACTTATTTCACTGAGCATAATATCCTCTGGGTCCATCCATGCTGCTGCAAATAGTAAAAGTTCATTCGTTTTTATGACCAAGTAATATTCCATTAGAAATATGTACCATGGCTTTCTTATCCACTCATCTACCAATGAGAACTTAGCTTGCTTCCATATCTTTGGTATTGTAAATAACACTGCAATGAAAACCGGAGTGCATATATTCTTTCAAATTAGTAGTTTGGGTTTCTTCAGATAAATCCCCAGAAGTGAAATGACTAGGTCGTAAGACCGTTCATTTTTTGTTTTTTTTAGGCATCTCCATGCTGTTTTCCATGGTGCCCACCAACAGTACATGAGGGGTTCCCTTTTCTCCAAATCTTCACCAATACTTGTCATTTGTGCAGTTATTGATGTGAGGTGATATCTGCCAGGTGTGAAGTGTTATCTCATTGTGGCAATTATAACTAAGTGTGACAATTATGATCAGCATTTTTTCATATGTCTAAAGTCATTTACATGTCCTCCTCGGAGAAGGGTCTATTTAGGTCCTCTGCCCAATTTTTAATTGGACTGTTTGTTTTTTAAGTGTTGAGTTATATGAGTTCTTTACAAATTTTGGATATTAACCCCTTATCAGATATATCATTACCTAATATGTTCTCCCATTTAGTAGGTTGTCTTCTCGTTTTGTTGATGGTTTCCTTTGCTACATAAAAACTAGTTTGAACTTCCGGTCAAGATGGCAGCGTAGGTAAACGCGGTATCGTGTCCTCCCACAACCACATCAAAGTTACAACTAAACTACAGAACAACCATCATTCAAAACCACCTGAAATCAAACTGAATGGAAGTCCTACAACTACGGAATTAAAGCAGCAGCCACATGGAGACTGGTAGGAGGGGCAGAGGCATGAGGGCTGGTCTCACACCCACGTGTCGTGGATAAAAATCAGGATACCTCAGCTGGGAAGGTCCTTCCTGAGGACTGAGGGGTCCCCGTCCCATACCAGGTGCCCCGCTCAGGGTTCCAGTGCCAGGAAGAGAAGTCCCCATAACTTCTGGCTGGAAAAACCAGCAGGAACTGAGGCTCAGGGAAGCTGACGCGGCTGGAGCCCCAGGCAGCTCCTTATAGGGCCCACTCAAGAACTTATCGGACTCTCTCCCTCTAATCTTGGAGGGGAGGCAGCTCGAGGGGCACCAGAGACATACAGGGAAGAACTGAGCTGTTTGGCACTGGAGTGAGGGCTGGAGAGGGGGCTTTCTCAGGGACAAAGTTGCTGTCATAGGCCTCTGTTCCTTTGGTGAGCCCTTCCCTGGGGCAACCGACAGTCGCCCTATTTGGGACTACAGCAACCTGGCTCACACTGCTAGCCCCGTCATGGTGACTCTCTGAGGCCCCGCCCCACCCAACTTTCAGTCCCACCCAAGCTGTTGCCACTTGCTTAACCATAGGATTTGGCTTGTCTTGGATCCTGCTTCAGGTTTTCCCAAATTTTTTCAAACAAGCAGCATCTGGTCTCAGCTAGCCCCATACCTCTCATTAAGTAATACACAGAAACAAACACAGGGAAGCAGCCAAAATGAGGAGACAAAGAAACAGGTCCCAAATGAAAGAACAGAACAAAACCCCAAGAAAAGAACTAAGCAAAATGGAGATAAACAACCTAACAGATGCTGAGTTCAAAATACTTCTTATAAGGATGCTCAATGAACTTAGTGAGAACCTCAGTGAACTTAGTGAGGGCCTCAAGAGCATAAAAAAGGACCAGTCAGAAATGATGGATGCACAGTCAGAAATGAAGGAGGCATTAACTGAAATAAAGAATAATTTACACAGATTCAATAGTAGAGTCCAAAAATCCAAGAAGCAAACCATCGATTTGGAATATAAGGAAGCAAAAAACGCCCAATCAGAACAGCAAAAAGAAAAAAGAATCCAAAAAAATTAGGATAGTGTAAGGAGCCTATGGGACAATTTCAAGCGTGCCAACATTCGCATCTTGGGGGTGCTAGAAGAGCGAGAACAAGAAACTGAAAACCTGTTTGAAACAATAATGACAGAAAACTTTCCTAATTTGAAGGAAACAGATACAAGTCCAGGAAGCACAGAGAGTCCCAAACAAGGTGAACCCCAAGAGGCCCACACCAAGACACATCATCATCAAAATGCAAAAGGTTCGCCCTGGCCAGTTTGGTTCAGCGGTTAGAGCGTCGGCCTGCGGTCCTGAGAGACCCGGGTTCGGTTCCCGCTAAGAGCGCGTGCCTCGGTTGTAGTTTGTCCCCGGCCCTGGTCGGTTGTGCAGGTGGCAGCCACTCGATGTGTCCCTTTCACATCGATGTTTCTCTCTCTCTCTGTTCCTCTCTCTCCCTCCTACTCTACCTGAACAAAAAATGGAAAAATGTCCTCGGGTGAGGATAAAAAAAAAAAAAAAAATGCAAAAGGTTCAAGACAAAGAGAGAATCTTAAAAGCAGCAAGAGAAAGGCAGCTAGTTACCTACAAGGGAGTTCCCATAAGGCTGTCAGCTGATTTCTCAAAAGAAACTTTGCAGGCCAGAAGGGAGTGGCAAGAAATATTCAGAGTGATCAAAAGCAAGAACCTACAACCAAGATTACTCTATCCTGCAAAGCTATCTTTTAGAATCGATGGCCATATAAAGACTTTCCCAGACAGGAAAAAGTTAAAGGAGTTCATCACCACCAAACTGTTATTATATGAAATGATGAAGGGTCTTTTTGAAGAAAAAGATAAAATATATGAACAAACAAAATGGCAATGAATACATATCTATCGACAATGGAATCTACAAACAAAATGAACAGGTAGAACAGAAACATTCTCATAGATACAGAGAACATTCTGTTGGTTGCCAGATGGGAGGGGGGTTGGGGGAAAGGGTGAAAAAGGTGAAGGGATTAAGAAGCACAAATTCATTGCTAGACTGACAAACCTCAGAGGGAAGGGGGTGGGGGGGTGGGAGGAAATAAACCAAAGAACTTATATGCATAACCAATGGACACAGACAATAGTGTGGGAAAAGGCGGAGGGGGGCGGGAGTGGCGAAGAGGGGGTCAATAGGGAAAAAATGAGGAACATCTGTAATACATTCTACATTCAACAATAAAGATTTAAAAAAAAAAAAAAACTAATTTGATATAGTCTCCTTTATTTATTTATTTTTTTCTTTTGTTTCCCTTGTCTGAGAAGATATATCAGGCAAAAAACTACTAAGAGAAATGTCTGAAAATTTACTGTCTATGTTTTCTCCTAGAATTTTTATGGTTTTAAGTCTTACATTTTGGTCTTTAATCCATTTAGAGTTTATTCTTGTATATGGAGTAATAACCCTGACGAGTATTAAGTGACACCCAGACTTTAAATACTGAACTCAAATCTCACACTAATTTTTCAATTACGAATACCAAATTTCAGTAACTCTTTAAATTTTTGCTTAGTTTTCTAAAAAAATCAAAATATATGAAATAGAACCCAAAGAGGATCTGAACTGACATTTAAGGCCTATCAGTAATTATGTTTTGAAAATCACTGCTTGGAAGACAAGTGCCAGGCAGATAAATAAGAGATATTTTCCGGAAAAAGAAATTGATTTTTAAACTCCAAAATTCCTCTATTCTAGGGACTTGTAGAACAGAGAGAGAGGTACCATAGTACGCAGCAGTTCAAGGTTATGTGACAGAGGAGCTGCTCAATATACATCAGAACTTAAACTTATATGCTATCAAGAGAATAAATTTCTTTACAAGATCAAGACTGAACAGGCAAGAAGTATACAAGTCTGCCAATTACAGGAAATGTTTGTTCAAAAAATTGATCACAAGAGGAAATGTATGTATGTAGTGTAGAATTAAGAAATTTGGGTGCAAATAAAGAGGAAAGCAAAACAGACAAAGCACTGCAGTGAGAATTTGCCACTTATTGTACAGAGGAACCAAAAATATGTAATTTGTTGTTAAATCCTCACCTGAGGATATTTTTTCCATTGATTATTTTAGAGACAGTGGAAGGGAGGGAGGCGAGGGAAGAGAGAGAGAAACATCGATGTGAGAGAGACACATTGATTGGTTGCCTCCTGCATATGCCCTGATGGGGCCAGAGATTGAACCTGCAACCCAGGTATGTGCCCTTGACTGGGAATCCAACCCCACCATCCTTTGGTGTGAGGGCCGATGTTCTAACCAATGAACCACTGGCCAGGGCTAACTTTTTTATAGTCACAAATTTGCACAGAATCAAGATGAAAGGGGAAAACTCTAAGTATCATTCTAAAATTTTAAAAGCATGTCTTAAGAACTTTTGAGCTGCCTCTGAAAAAGCCATATGAAAAGCTATCATCCCCAACTCCATTTTCTAAAATTAATAACACTCATTCTTTAACAAAATTAATATGGGCTCACTGTGGAAATTTTCAAAAAGTGTGAACAAAATCACATTCAGCAATAATTCTGACCATAAAAGAACTCATCAGTGGCCCTGGCTGGTTTGGCTCAGCGGTTAGAGCGTCGGCCTGCGGTCCAGGGAGACCCGGGTTCAGTTCCCGCTAAGGGCACGTACCTCAGTTGCAGTTTGTCCCCGGTCCTGGTTGGTCATGCAGGTGGCAGCCACTGGATGTTTCCCTTTCACGTCGATGTTTCTCTCTCTCTCTCTTCCGCTCTCTCCCTCCCACTCTATCTGAACAAAAAATGGAAAAATGTCCTCAGGTGAGGATAAAAAAAAAAAAAGAACTCATCAGTCAAAAACCTGGAGGAAAGTGAGAACATTATTTTGAAATTACAAATAAGGCAGGGAATAATAAGCACAGCATGCCACCATCACTGGGTTCCAGAAACCTAATGTTTGAGAAGTCTAAGAAAGAATACATTACACACCTAAAAGAAACTACTGCCTTTGTGGCACAGGAGACACTAAAATATGACAATCTGAGACAAAAACAA